ATTTTTATTGAAGAACAATATATGTATTAAGCGATCTCCGCTTTCAACTGGTTTTACTACCGAACCCTGCTGCGAATTGAGCTACCTGAACCAGCACTTGTGCACTCTCAATTTCCAACCCGGATTCCTGTAGCCGTGGAAAATTAAGAGCGTTATATCTGATACCATATCTATTTGACGAAGAGAGTAGGCACTCAAATATTCCCAAAGCTGCGAGCCAGACATCACCAGACCCTCCGCTGAAGAGGATTACAGCCAATCTGTAGTCACATCGCCTCCTCCTGTGGGCTCTGCATCATCGTCCATTCACTCTACAGCGTCAATTCCTTTTATTAACCGCAAAAAACGTAAATCCAGTGTGCAAGCACCATCTGCAGCTAGTGTCCTACAAGAGTACTTGGAAGCAAAAAAAATCAATCTCCAAACACTGCTACCAGCGAGGATGCTTTAACAAAGTTTTTCTTATCAATGGTCGAAACTGTCAAAGGATTTCCTCCAAGAGATCAAGTAAACATTAAATCTAAATTATTTCAAATGGTAAACGCCGTTGAATTAAGATTGATCTCGGACGACTTAAGTACAGGCGACCCACAAAGTTCGCGGTCTGCTCTCTCCCTACAAGATCCATCAGTTGTTTACTTCGACCCTCAAGCTCAATCCTGAAACAACGGAGCCATTTCTCGGGAAAAATCCTACCTGCCCAATTGCTATAATTCAGATTGTTATGGGGGTTATAGGGAAGGCCAGTGAACTATGAATATAAAAAAATTAATAAATGTACCGTAAAGTCACTGCGAGTCGTTCTTTAGCTCCACCAGCTCTTCTGAATGTTGTGTTTTTTCTAATTATTGCAGGTTGCAGCATATCAAGAAGAGCGTCAAATTTCTCATGGCTCATTCTAAAATACTGGAAAAACTTCACTTCATCTTCAAGTAGACCGGGAAATAACGAGTTAAATTCACTAAACCTTGGTCGTTTCTTGCATATATTATCTACCCATACGCTTCGTTTCGTTTTTAAATTTTCTCCTTCTGCTAATAAACTGCCAACAATGATGACGTCTTCTTCACTGTCGCTCATTTTTCAAAAAAATACTAAGGAACCTGCACGTTACGGACGCCAAATGTCTAGTGGTACGACTCTTGTCTGGTACGACTCTTGTCGTGCGAAACTGAAAACCGGTGACGTATATGTTTATTATATCAGCAAAATGCGGCTCCTGCGATTGATGCGGTTCGTTCGGCACGAATCAGTGGGCGCTTACCTTAAGATCGCTTACAATACTTAAAGTTGTAAGCTATACAGAAATTGTATGTTAAGGTGATTTTCACGAGGAAAACCAATATACTCAAATTTTAACAAATTCGGTTCTGCTAAGAGAGGGCTTAGAGAATTTGAAAAATGCCATTGTACCTGCGAGCCAGGAGTACAACAACATGTGCGCAAAATGTAATACTGCTGTTAGGCGTACTCCATTATATTCTAATATCATTTCATCGACGTGGCGCAAATTGCGGACGAATCGGGGATGGAGGAAACATCAAATATTCCGCTCGATACGATACCGCTACCGGGAACTATGGGACACTTTGTGGCCTTTTGCAAGCGTTGCGACAGTTCTTGGGAAGTGTACGACGATCTCTCTAAAAAAATAAGTAATATTTCAGCGTCATCAATAGTTCATACGTTTTTGTTAATTTACAGTATTTAAATTTATTATGTTATATGTTATATTTTTACTTTAATAACATTTCCATTGAATCTAGAGTCTAGACTTTTAATTCCATAATGCATGGTTATAAAAATGTAACAAAGTCATTGCGTTGTCCTCTCCCCTTTCCTCTCCAAAAGAAAAAAATGCAGCAATGGCATTATTACTACATTTTATGTAATAATGTCACTAGCATGTGCAAATTTTGAACTATTCATTAACATAACACAAAGTGTTATATTAGGAGCCCAAAATGGGCACAAAACTATAATAAAAGAAAATTTCGGAAACATCAATATTGACACTACAGCGTGAAGTTGGAGTGTCATCAGAAAAAGTCGAATAACTCATAAACCTTATGAGCACAAAATTTTAAATTAGCAGCACAGATTAGCACAAAATGAGCACAAAATTATAGTGACAGAATATTTTGAAAATATCGATGTTGACACTTCAGCGTGAAGTTGGAGTGTCATTAGAAAAAGTCGAATAACTTATTAACCTGATGAGCACAAAATTTTAAATTAGCAGCACAAATTAGCACAAAATGAGCACAAAATTATAGCAAAAAAAATGTTGAAAATATAGATGTTGACACTCCAGCGTGAAGTTGGAGTTTCATCAGAGAAAGTCTAATTACTCATTAATCTGATGAGCACAAAATGTTTAATTAGCAGCACAAATTAGCACAAAATTATAGTAAAAGAAAATTTTAAAAATAGCTATGTTGACACTCCAGCGTGAAGTTGGAGTGTTATCTGAAAAAGTTGAATTACTCATTAACCTGATGAGCACAAAATTTTAAATTAGAACAAAATTATGAGATACTTAATTCCTTTCAAGTCGACACTCTTAACTTCACGGACCCCGGAATCAAGGAGTTCGATAGGAGATATAAAACGAAGTACCGTGAATATGTAAACCGGCAGAGAAAAGTGAAACCATTTATCAAGTTCAACACAGTCGTGGCAAGGCAAACGAACCCTAAAAAATTATCTCCACCATATCATCCAACTGGAATGAAGGTCATCAGTTAGGACGGCTGTAAGGTAACACTCCAACATCCAGACGGTCATTTCCAGATCCGACACCCCGCGCACCTGAAGAAGATCTTTTCTGAGAAAGGAGGAGATGTTGTGTAGTGATCGTTTGAGTGCGCATGTGTGGATTATTTGTGAAGCTATTCAAGGGACGCGTCACGCGAGGACAGTAGTGATCGAGCGGCACGGAGAGCGGTGCCGTCGCTCGTTTAGTTATATAGTCTATTTGCTTTTACTAGTCCGAGATCTAATTAACCCCTCTAATTGTAGCGTCATTCTTTGTTTTCTTCACGTCAATCTTCAATTATAGTCCATTGCATTAAGGTAAACTGGAATGCGGTACGGTTTACGTAGAAAATAAGTAAGTGTAATTATAAATCTATGGTATGCCAAAGGATTTTAAATCCTCTAATAGGGAGAAAGAATGTCAATTAGAGTCATCTTCGCTTGCCGTTTGGACAAATGTAAACAACTTGCAGTTGACGCCTTAATACCTCTAATGCATCTGCAGTTCTCAAACTTTTAAACTTTACAGCAATTCATTGCAGAAGAGACGTTACCTGTTGCAACGTTGATACACAACTGAGCTTTTATTTAATACCGAGTATACTAGTATTTTATGGACAGACTTGTATGAATATAGAATACTTTTATTGCAAAAGATAAATTAACATTACATTATAAATTAATTTTTTTTTTTCTTTATTTCAAGTCGCCCTGACATCACAGGTCCTTAGCGACTACTATAATATAACTACAGAATTGGTGTCTTATATAAGATTACATATTATCGTCATGAGGAAGTATTTAACATTTTAGTTTTAATGACTTTAGCATTTCTTTTATTTGTAGTAGATGGATTTCTTGGTTAAGTGCCGTTTGTAGATGTGCTGGAATTTTAAATCTTCTTCTTGTCTGTTGAAGGTTAGCACAAGTGACAAGTATGTGGTTTACTGTAGCGTTTTCGTTGTAGTTTGGGGATTTTGTTGGGTTGGACTTGATCAGTAGGTGGCCGTGTGAGAAAGAAGTATGCCCTATTCGCAATCTTGTTAGAAAGCATTGGTCTTCCCTTCTCATGAGTCGAAGTCTCAGTTCACTAGTATTTTCACGGCAACTGTGCAATTTAGAATTGCCGTTGATCCAGAGTTCGTTCCATTGGCTGTAGATTACGAAGCCGTCCTGGGGCCACACACACATTTTATATAATAACTTCGAGTAAAATGTAAAAATTTCCATTAAAAGTAAGACATTTCGACAAAAAAGTGAAAACTTCGACAAAAACGTGAAAACTTCTACAAAAAAGTAGAAATTTCGACTAAATAATGAAAATTTCCACAAAAAACTAGAAATTTCCAATAAAAAGTAGAAATTTCCCCAAAAAAGTGGAAATTTCCACAAAAAACTAGAAATTTCCAATAAAAAGTAGAAATTTCTTTAATAATGTGAGAATTTTTACTAAAAAGTGGAAATTTCCACAAAAAAGTGGAATTTTCCACAAAAAAGTGGAAATTTCCACAAAAAACTAGAAATTTCCAATAAAAAGTAAAAATTTCTTTAATAATGTGAGAATTTTTACTAAAAATAAGAAATTTCCACAAAAAAGTGGAAATTTCCACAAAAAACTAGAAATTTTCAATAAAAAGTAAAAATTTCTTTAATAATGCGAGAATTTTTACTAAAAATAAGAAATTTCCACAAAAAAGTGGAAATTTCCACAAAAAACTAGAAATTTCTAATAAAAAGTAGAAATTTCTTTAATAATGTGAGAATTTTTACTAGAGTGGAAATTTCTACAAAAAACTAAAAATTTCGACTAAAAAGTTGAAATACCTACAAAAACGAAGATATTTCAACTATAAATTAGAAACTTTCATAAGAAAGTTTTTTAACAAAATCCTTCTACGCCTTCTTAAAATGTTACCCTCGATATTACCTATACAACTACGCCTTCTTTAAGTGTTACCTATACAATCAGATATTTGTCGTGCTGTGCTAAAAATAGTGAGAAGTTCGTTGTAACGGTAAGTAGGCGGCCTATAATTTATATAGCAATCCAATATAGTAACATAAGTTTGAATATTCATAGATACCTAGGTATTTTAAGTTATAAGTTGCTCTCGTTTCATAAATAAAAGTGTAGTACCCCCTTTTCTACGCCACTGAACCACAACGTTTATAGAAAGAAAACCAACGCCACCATCCTGCGCCGGCGCTCTGTCGTTAAGTGTCATTTCTTCTTTTTTGTGCTTACATTCCACACGTGTTTTCTTTTTATATTATTTTTTTTGCTTTGGAAGTTGCTGTGATGGGCAAACGACGGAGAAAAAGCCCTGTTAGTAGAATAGACGTGAAAAGGAGAAGATTGTTACGGAAATTGGATAAATTAGATCGCGCTTCGGGTTTACACAAAGAGAGCAGTTGCAGCAGCGATACAGCTGACACGAGATCCGAACGCGGAAGTACACCAATGGAGTCTAATAGCGATTATGGACACTTCGAGGACCTTATTCACGAGGATTCTATTGCTTTTTCTGAACAAGGTAAATTGCCTTAAATTGGCATTTTCTAGAGGAATATTCCTCTGTTTTTTAGTCAGTGATATCATTGACCTTGCGACTCTTACGATACTTTTATATAAAGGTACAGTCGCTGTAAGCTGTATTGGTAATATTACCAACTTGTTGCAATGGACATCTTTTCAACACATTTTTGTATATAGAAAAAGTAGAATTTTCTATTTTTGTTCTTTGATATCAAAGAACTGTATTTTCAGTTTTTTGGTGTGTGACAAGTGCCATGTGCTTTTATAGATTGGCAAACTTTTCTAAAATTTGTTTTGTTTGTTTCGGTTTATAGATGAAAATCGAGATCCTAACGAGTCTGTGGAGGAGATTCCCTTATCCAGTGACATTTTGAAAATTATCGGTTGCGATGGAAGTACTAAGGAAACTGGATCGCAGGCAATTAGAAAAGAATTAGTTTCTAGTTGGTCTGATGTTATTAAACGAAGACTAAGTGAAGAAGTTCGTGCAGATTGTGTGCTTCGCTATCCGCCTCCAAAAAATTGTTTGTTTTTGGAAGCTCCTAAGCTAAATTTAGAAGTAGTTGCAGCAGTTAATGATGTGGCTAAAAACCGAGATAATCGACTGATTATTTTTTAAAAGCAGTTGGGTTGCAGTATATCGGCGATTGGAAAAGCTTTATCTGCAATTTTAGAAAAAGAGGAAGAAAAGGACCTTCAGGTTGTGCAAGCACTGAGTGATGCTGGCAAGCTGTTAGTAGATTTTGTTCTCTTCCTATTCTTCTACAAGAAAAGAACTTCTTTCTTTGGGTCTAAAAAAGGAGTTCCGAGAAACTTTAAATAGTGCCGAAGTGGATGGATGGCTATTTGGCGTTAATTTAGATGAGAGAGTAAAGGCTTCAAAAAATCTGGAGAGAGTTAGTCGTGACCTTAGACAGATTAAAGCTAAAGCACCGGTTACCAACAAGGAGACAAAAAACTTCACAAGTCGGTCTCATTACCATCGAGTTCGGTGGGACCGCCAACATTTAAATCAACGGACTCAACCCTTTCCAAGATCCCAGAGTCAATATCAAGAAGGAAGATTTCAACGGAGTCAACACACGTCTCAGAGAAGACCTCCCATGAAACGACCCTTCAAACACAATTGAACATTGTAAGTGGATCAGCTGGCAGGTTGGCTAATTTTTATAATATTTGGAGTATAGTTACAAATAACAAGATGGTATTGTCTTGGATTAAGGGAATATATATTCCTTTTACTCGTACTCCATCCCAATCTTTTGTAAAGAAAGAACCGAACTGGTCCCAGTCAGAATTTTTAAACATAAAAGATTCAATAGCCAATCTTTTAAATATGAGAGCTATTAGTCAGGTAGCTGACTGTCCTGGTCAGTTTGTTTCAAATATTTTTTTAGTACCAAAACCTGATGGTAGTTTTCGTTTAATATTAAATTTGAAAGAGCTTAATAAATTTGTTGCTTACCATCATTTTAAATTGGAAGATGTTAAAACCGCTAAGACTCTTATTGCTAAGAATTGTTATCTAGCAAAATTAGATTTGAAAGATGCATATTTTCTTTTGTCTATCGACAGGAGACACCGAAAATTTTTAAGATTTTTGTTTAATGGGAACTTATATGAGTTCAATTGTTTACCGTTTGGGTTAAGTTGTGCCCCATTTATTTTTACGAAGATTATGAAGCCGGTCATTTCTTTGCTTAGAAGAAGGGGTTTGTTTTCCATAGTTTATTCAGATGATTTCCTTTTATTAGGACAATCTTATAATGATTGTTTGTACAACATAACCCAGACGATTATTCTCTTGGAATCCTTAGGTTTTATTATAAACAGGAAAAAGAGTTGCCTTGTTCCAAGTCAAGTTTGTGAATTTCTGGGATTCACTTTTAATACAAAAGAGATGTCTATTGCTATTCCTGCTAAAAAAAGAGAGAAACTTTTTCAAAAAATAAAAGATTTCTCTCTACTGAAGGTTTGCAAGATCAGAGATTTTGCTGTGTTTTTAGGAAATTTAGTTTCTGTGAATCCAGCAATGAAATATGGTTGGCTTCACACTAGAAATTTTGAGAGAGTAAAATTTTTAGCATTAAGACTTCATGAAGACAATTATGATGCGAACATGCAAATACCTGTTACTCTAAAAGACGATTTTGAGTGGTGGTTAAGGAATATTTCAATTTCAAAAAATAGTCTAGAGAAATTAAATTTTCAGTTAGAAATATTCACAGATGCTTCAAAGACGGGATGGGGAGCATGTTGTAATGGGGTGAAAACACATGGGCATTGGTCCAGCTCAGAACAGTCTTTACACATAAATATTCTAGAATTGAAAGCTGCTTTTTTTGGTATAAAATGCTTTGCTAATAATATTAATAACACAAATATTATTTGTCGCATAGACAACACTACTGCTATAGCCTGTATTAATAAGATGGGCAGTGTGCAGTTTCCGCAGCTTAATTTTTGGGCTCAGGAGATATGGTTTTGGTGTGAGACTAGAAATATTGTAATCTTTGCAGCTTATATAAGATCCCGTGATAATGTAGAGGCGGATAGAGAATCCCGAAAAACCCTTTCAATAGAAACGGAATGGGAGTTGGCAAATTACGCATATGATAAAGTTTGCAATGCTTTTGGGTTTGCTACTGTAGATTTATTTGCCTCTAGGCTGAACAAAAAATGTAATAATTTTGTATCTTGGTTTAGAGATCCTGAAGTAAGTGAAGTGATGCCTTTACTATAAATTGGTCTGATCTAAAATTCTATGCCTTTCCGCCTTTTTCGTTAATATTAAAGGTGTTGAATAAAATTAAGACTGATAAAGCAATAGGTATTGTAGTAGTTCCTGTTTGGACAACTCAACCTTGGTTTCCCTTGTTTACATCCTTGTTAGTCAAGAAACCATTAATATTTGAACCTAACATAAAACTTCTTTCTGTTAATAGGGAACCTCACCCCTTATGGAGAAGAATTTCCCTGGTGGCAGGTCTCTTATCCGGGAGGCGTTAAAAAGGAAAGAAGTTCCTTTAGCCGCAGTGGAAATTTGTTTATCTTCTATTTCTCTGAGTACATTAAGACAATATAATAGTGGTCTAAAACGTTGGTGGGATTTTTGTTCAAGACAGAAACTTGATGTTTTTATTAGTTCTCCCAAGGATGTTTTAGTTTTTCTTTCTTTAGAGTTTGATAAAGGGGCCTCTTTTGGCACGTTAAATTCGATTCGTGCAGCGTTAGGCCATGTTTTAAATTTTGATTTAGGCACTAATAACCTTATCAAAAGATTTTTTAAAGGGGTGATTAATGTTAGGCCCAATTTACCAAAGTATAGCCACATCTGGGATCCAGAGATAGTTTTAAAATTTCTTTCAAATTGGGATAATAATTCCGTCACAATAGAATTATTGGGTAAAAAGCTAGCAGTTCTACTAGCTTTAGCTACAGGACACAGAGTGCAGACACTCTCCAACATTATGGTAGAAGATATCGTTTGTTTGGATGAAAAAATTGAAATAAAGATACCCAATAAAATCAAAACTACGGCAAAAAATCGTTATCAACCCACGTTGTTCATACCGTTTTTTAAAGAGAGGCCTACTATTTGTGTCGCTTCTGCTATAATCGTGTATCTTGGTAAGACGAAGCATCTGAGGTCTAACTATGGTCAGAAATTGTTTTTAACCCACAAAAAACCTTTTCATGATGCTTCTAGCCAGACGATAAGCAGGTGGATTAAGGATATACTAAGGTCTAGTGGTATCGATACAAATATCTTTTCTGCACACAGCACTCGTCATGCTTCGACATCAATTGCTGCTAAGAGAGGTGTTAGTATCGATACGATAAGAACAACCGCAAATTGGTCAGAAAAATCACAAACTTTTGCACGATTTTATCAAAGACCTATTAAAGTTTTAGAGAATTTTGCTGGTGCAGTACTAAACCCTAATTCAATATGAATAACTATTGTTGATATCAGGTTTAGTACTATTTTGGTATATATATATATTATATACTTATATATATATTTTTTAAGTCTTTTAGTAATAGCACTTGATTTATACTCATTATCTCTTACTAAGCTAATCGTCCAAAATGGAATTTGTATTATTTAGGTATTATTAAATGTTGTTGCATCTTTAAACATCTACACTTTTATTTATGAAACGAGAGCAACTTATAATTATTGGATCAAAGGAACTTACCTATGTGAAGTTCGATCCAAATTATTAGTTGCTCTCGTTGAAATAAATAAGTCCCACCCATCCCTAACCCTTTCAGCAACAACATTACCTTTAAAGGAATGACACTTAACGACAGAGCGCCGGCGCAGGATGGTGGCGTTGGTTTTCTTTCTATAAACGTTGTGGTTCAGTGGCGTAGAAAAGGGGGTACTACACTTTTATTTATTTCAACGAGAGCAACTAATAATTTGGATCGAACTTCACATAGGTAAGTTCCTTTGATCCAATAATCATCGTTAGATAACAAGCTATACTTTCAAGTTTTCCTAAACATTGAATGTGTTTACAGAGTTGCAATGGAACCGGAATTACAAGAGGTTTTGGAAAGCCGGGGCGTTGAGAGGGAGGTTATCGAAAAACTGAAAAGTGAAAGAGTAAGTGTACAAAATAATTTCCACGTTAGTTTAAGACAGTACATAGACATTCTTACGGCCCAGCCGTGCAAAATGCAATCATAATCCAAACCTAATGTCGGCTAATTAGAAAATCATCAAAATTATATACAAACATTGCAATGATACAAACCAGACATGGTCTGGATTTTTATATAGCTTTTTGTCAGTGGCGGCACTAGGCTTGAGTTTGCCCAACTAGCCAATACAAGCAAAAATCGTAAAATACATAAGTCCGTAAAACTCCACTAATAAAGTTTAGGACAAAAATGTCAATTAACTATTAAGTTCAAATGCAAACAATTTACTGCAATTCTGCAAAGTATGGAGCAGACTAGATAAAATTATTACAAAAGATGTTTTATTTTAACCGCATGTATTGGATACTTCAAACGAATGCCGAATCTTGTGCATATATCAGTATCAGTTAAGATAGTATATTATATTATTTCAAAGCGCACCGCGGCCGCGCCGCGCGTGATGAAATTGTGATGTTTTCGTTTTGCATTATCACAGCTATGTCAGCTACATAGTAGGTATAGTAGGCAAAAGCGGAAGTAATTTTTATGCAATCACTAAAATTATGTATGTGACATATACTGATCATAGAAAAGTATGAAATTACGCTCGTCATAAACAGATTAAGTAAGATTTTTACAAGAATATCAGAATTTTAGAACCTTAAATTACATATTGCATTTACACCATACCTGTACAGTAATTATAATATAAATCAGTGGTGCTCAAGCAGTAGCACGCGGACACCTGGTAGCCCGTGGTCTGTTCTTTAGGCGCCCCCAAACTTTATGAGTAGATAAACATAATTATTTTTTGCAAAAATCCATTTATTGATAGCGTTCCATTGTTTCGTTAATAAAGCGGAATCTTAAATGCAAATAATTACACTTTGCACCTACATCAAGTTAGCAATAGATTCCAGCAATAGACCTTATTTCATATAAAATAAAGTTTGAAGTCACCTCAAATGGACTTGCACACATGAAGTTAAAAGTTTTTCTAAAAAAAATTTTTATTAATAATATTAGGGGTTGAAAGGGGGTTAAAAAATAAGGGTAACTTTGTTGGTACAGGTTTTTTTCCCATTTTTTAAAAAGTACAATAAACTTAAAGTGCAAGCACTATAATTGTCAAAATTTCAAAATGTAACCCCGCGCCGTTTTGGAAATAATTAATTTTTTCGGTTTTTTGCGGTTATTTATTGCTAGGGGTGTAATTTGTGTGGTGCATCAAATATTTTTGTTTTCAGTTATGATTTTTATTATATTGTAATATTATAGGATTTATCCTCCCTGCTCGGACTCGCTTGGAGTCCGAAGGAAACACACTTTCTGCGACCAGTCGATATTTATTGACTACTTCTACAATAATACTTATACTCAATACTGCCTACATTCTAATCTTACATGCTAGCACTATTTTCCCCTACTACTTATTATTAACTACCTACCACTACACCTCCATAGCGAGGGAAAAAAAAAATCTATTCTACAAGATTTGATTTTTTTTTGTACTTAGTCTAACTGTAATTTATATCCTATGTTACATACTTAATTTTACAAACTTAATTAAAGAAATTAGAATTTAACTTAAAAAAAAAAAAAAAAAAGGCCAACGTGTTTCATTCCTCCGGCACCCCTGACTACAGAGATACCGGAGGCGGGCTGCTCAGGGCTTCCTGGCCCTCTTCAGCCAGAGAACGGGATTGTAAGGATGGGTAAAGTTAGGGATGGGAACGGAAGGAACGGAGTTAGGGTGCTGAGGGGGAGAGTACTGCTCCAGCATTCGCCTCGTAGATTTCAACATAATGCTAGCATTATGCGAAGCTACGTATGTCTGAGGAAAACCCCCTGACAAAATCCCAGACAGAGCAGTCGGCAGCGGGATTCGAACCCACAACCTCCCGAATAGCATCGGTGAGCGCATCCACTGCGCCACGTGCCTCGGTATTTAACTTAATCTAGGTATGGCTTAACACGATTTTTATGAACTGTCACTGTACCGTCTTGAACCTTCAACACTAAATTTGGAGAATGGTCCTCCACAACCGCGTATGGACCTTTAAAAAGTTCTTGTAACTTATTGGCCGGAGTGTTTTTTACTAATACTAAATCACCAGGCCTGTACTTAATTCCTACGTTACAATTATCCGTGCGCTTGTCATAGACGCACTTCCTAAAATTTTTTGACTTGATTAACTTTTCACGTGTATCTGCGTGGGCTTGCTGTAACCTAAATTTAAGTTCTTTAGGGTAATCGACATAATTGTAAACTGGATCGAAATTAGTAATTAAATGGGAAGGTAATTTCGCAATTCGTCCAAAAACTAACTCAAAAGGTGTATACGTTGACTCTGTGTGCACCGTTGTGTTATAAGCAAAACACCAAAAAGGTACCCATGAACTCCAAGCATTTTTGAATGTATTTACCTGAATTCTTAAGTACGCGCCCAAATTTTTATGTGAATTTTCTAGCGCACCTAGCGTCTCATGGTGATAAGCTTATAACGTGAGGTTAGTTCGGCGCTGTAAAACTCAAACCCCGCCGCATAAACGGCCAGCTAGCTCAGATTCTTAATTAAAAGAAGGGCTCGAGATGAGAATCTTCCACAGCGGTTTGTTCGTTTGGGCATATAACATAAGTTTTTGATCTTTGGTAGTCACTAGAAATGATTAGTTGAGCGCCACCCAATTTTGCACAAATTCTGACCTCTCCTGTATAGAAATTGGGAAAACACAAGAGAGCCAAATAATAAATTCACTACGAGCAATTCTGATTTATTAATCCTGACAAAACGGTGCAGGATCGGCAAATAAAATGTATCTTCAATACGACAATAACAAATACTTTAAATGACAAAAATAATCCCCAAATAAATTCCTGAACACTTCCCTAATAATTACGTTACCAGCCCCCTACAACAATGATCGAGCAAAAATGTAGTTAAGATTTCAATAGATTCAAAGATTGAATTAAGTTAACCCGAATAACAACTCATATAGGCAACACTGGGTACAAGTAAATTAAAAATCTTACCTTGAATAACACATAAGCTGTCTTCTCCGAAAAAGAGCTCTCCTTCGAAGTTCCAGTTCTGTAACACAAAAACAAACCCCAAGCTACAACGCTCGGAACGATTATATGAGCCGGAAGGGCCAAAAAAAAAGCTTACTCGTAGCCGGCTCGTTTACCCATACGTTAAATACAGGTGCGTTGCTCTTGAAGAGAGTCACGACCTCAAACACTTGATGCGAACAAAATACAAAGCTCCAATCATAAATCGTCGGAAGGTTACACTAGATTAACGGTATTGAAGCAAATAAAAAAAAAGGTTGTGTAAAAGATCGTATCTTCCGAAAATTCCACCATCAGCTGGTCGCTCCCGGTATCGTTTAGGTGTTAGCGCTTATCTACTCGGTGGTACGCCGGATAGCTGCCGGCAATCAACAGGTGTTCGTACTCCGGAATATTCGCAAGATGCAAATTCATTTACATACAAGGATTCGTCTACTACATGGATTGACCGGTACAAGAATTCGTCTACTACATGGATTGACCGGTACAAGAATTCGTCTACTACATGGACCCCCTAAAAGTAATGAAGATGTAACACTCCCTAACGAGATTTTTAATAACATACCTGAAATCGTCAGGAGGGTAATGAAAAATACTTAAATCAATGAAATATGGAAATTATCCAAGAGGTTGTGAATCTGAAAGAATTTTAGATAACATAACGTAAAAGAAAACCAACGCCATTTCACTTACATGTAGGTAGGGCGATGAACTTCCACCAGATATAGCCTCACAACGGAGAAAACGGCTTCTGAGTTACTCTACTCGACAACGCCAATAAACAGGTAAAATTGCCAGAGATTTTACGTGAATGATGGCAAATATTACCCACTGGTTTTAGAAGAATTCACAATGCCACGCTCTACAAGTACAACCTCGTTGGCTTTAAAACGGAAATGAAGTGAAAAAATTACGCGATTCTGCGCGAGGAAAGAAGCACGCGTACAAGTGACGCCATCTCACCTATATCCTGCCTAACGTAGCAAGCGGTAATTTTGAAATTTGAATATAAATAAACTAAACTGTTACACCCCCCCTCTCCTTCGACAGGAGGGAAACTACAAGTTTTCCGACGATCGAAAAACCCAGCACACACACTCGAAAAGGAAGCAAACAAATTGAAAACCCGAAAACCCACCCCAGTGTAAAAAAAACTCCCCCCCAAAGAATTTCACCTTCAAAGAATTTTCCCAGGTTCTCCAGCAGCGGAAAAGGTATGCAAAATCGGGTATTGACATGCCCTCGCGTAAAGATGGAATCTCGCGCCGTCGGGTATCA